GGCTCATATAAAGAATTCCATCACATTTCAAGTATGTACGAGTACCATTAGCCATTTTTAAAATATCGTGCGCGCAAGGTGGAAACGTGATGAAAAATTCTGTCACAAAGCGGATTAAATTACAAAAATATTTGTGGCAACACAAACTTTCTGGTTACTAGTTTCCAAAGCAGCTATATTATGTAGTCAGCTGTAAAACGTTGGAAGTAATTGATTTTAAAATAAATAAAATATCCCAATTTTTGCAACAGTCACATATTCGAAGGGTGTTAAGGGGTTTAAGGTGTATGAGCCCCCTTAAAAGAATACCATTTTTTAATGTTAGAACCATTCTTACAAGCTTATCCAGATTTGTCAAATAATGCAAAATTCACACACCATGAAGTTATAAAACCTCTGTCCCATTAAAGGTTTTCTATATTTGGATTTTGTATAACAATTCTCTTCTTCCGGGAACTGAACCCACAATTTCCACGTCTACGAACGAATGCTATGACGACTAAAATATCGAAACCATTAAATGTTCTTGCCATTAACTTTTATTAATGGAACGAGTGAATTACTAATTCATGAGTTATGTTTCATATAGTATAAAACTTATGCGTCAAGGTTCTTAAAACGTTATTTGCATTGAACGCGTTTTTTATTGATATTTTTTTCTTTCTTGTTGTTAATTTTTGACCGGATTACTACAAAAGCATGTTGTGCAAATTAAATATATTCTGTTGAAATTTTTTAAAAATCCTGTTTTTAAAGTGTTAACTACAAGTGTTTAAGCCTGGTTTTCAATTATCGCTTTGCTCTCTTTAATTATCAAATCAATTAAAAGAGCTGTGAATTTACTTTCAGTGGTAAATGCCAGTTTATATTCTTCGATGCGTAGAAAATAACAGCAAAATATTGTTAATTGTACGGAATAAATAATTTATATCTTATTTAAATAGTAATAATTCATAAATAAATTGCAATTATAATAATACTTAGGATGAATATAAATATTTCTACTAAATTTGACTTTAATTTTTTAAAAAAATTATTTACGTAATCTATCTGTACTATTAAAATCTGTGCGCTTCGGCCTGTTTTTTTTATTTGTAACATCATCTTCAGAACAGCGGGGAGTTGAGTTTCCAGAGAGGCACCACCAGATTCCAAAAATTTGTGGGAAGACATTTCGACCATTCACATCTTCGTGCGACTTTAATTAGTGGAGATATTAATTAAAAACTCTGAAAACGCTAATTTTTGCACTAATTTTTTAGTGGCAACAGTCTCGCACGCGGGAGATAAAAATGCTTTTTTTCGAAAGGTGTTGCCACTGTTCGCTTTCAAATCGTAGAATTTGTGAATCAAAAATTTGTAAGTTTTAGAAAATATGAAATAAAAATCTGATCTGTACACCACATGACTTCCTTGTACGGAGTATTAAATTGTACGCATTTTTCTTGCATTTCGTTTAAACTTATTAGATTGAATTAAATCTACTTTGCTGACAGTGCATAAACCACAATAGAATAAATGCATTCTTTAAAATTCACATTGCTTACCATAGCGACACTTTGGCGCTAGGTTTACTTAACAGTTTTATATTTCGTTCATATTATAACTCAGAATGCACAAAATTTATATCATTTAAAGAATTATCTAATCGATGTCACATGTTCTATTCAAATACTAAAGCTAGAACGATGTATAAAAGAAATTAAGCAAACAAAACAAAAAAGAAACAGTTTTTCGCAGACGATTGAGTATTTCTCATTCAATTAATTCAATTCTTACTTCGCGACAAGGCAAAAATATATGAATACTCAAAAAATATCTGTATTAAAAATTACGAAGTAAATCTTAAACGCTTATTTCCTCGAAAAATTTCCAGAAAGGGTTAAGCATGATTTAATTCGCAATAATAAATGAAGGCGTTATCGTTGTAGTTGCGAAGCTACGTTTCTCTAGATTGGCAACAAATCCACTACTTTGCTGTTTCAAATGTAAACAATCAATGGCACCCATAAAAAAGGCTTAGCGGCACTTAAACAACTTTAAAATTGTTGATAATTCTAAAATTATTGCATACAGATTTACTAAAGGCACACAAATCTTAACCGGAAGATAAGAACAACATAATTGAATCATTTTTAAAGCAAAAAATGGACAATTTACAAACATATAAGAAACTGAGATCACTGAGCCGGGTAACACAGTGGATATATATATATAAATATATTTATATACGTTTGGTGCGGCCGATTGCAACCAAAATAGGAGGTGCACATCTACATGTTATACTAGTCCTATATACAAAATTTCAACGTTCTGAGGCTACTCGTTTTTGAGTTATGCGAGATACATACGTACGTACATACGTTCGTACAGACGCCACGAAAAATTCTCTTCAGAATTCATTTTAAAGCAGTTTTATAATTTTTTGGAGGAAAGAGTCTTTTATTTGTCCTTACTTACAATATCCGCAATCAACATCGTTAAATTGCATTCGAAAGCGGTCAAAATGGATATTTTCGTTGAAATATGCTGCCTGAAACTTTTCGCGATTACAATACTTCCTTTTTACTTCGTAGAAGGAAGTAAAATAGCATTACCAAACATTAAACATATTATTATTATATAAGGTCATATTCTGACCTTTAAAAAAGCGCGCGATTGCATATGTCGTCATGTTATTCGAAAATGTCTCGTTAACGTTAGCATTTTAAACAAATAGCTGCTGTTGACAACTTTTTTGTTTCAGGTTAGTATAAATGACACGATACGTTATTGCCACGCTAATTGTTTTATTAACCTTGAGAAATTGTTATTGTATTACCTTAAAATTAAATCATGACATCGTGCGTAGTACAGGAAGTGTCTAAAGTTTTTATTTCGTGGTTTGAGAATAAGAAAATTATTTAAGACTTGGTTGTTGCTTGGAAAGAAGGAACTAATTTTATTCATACTCAAATGTTTTAACACATTCGCTTGTCATAGAACTTACAAATTCTCCTTTGGCTGTAGCCCGCTAGTTTGAAATAAAATCCATTTTTCTCCAAAGAAGGATTATTTTAAATCTAAATTAAAGAAGCGTTAAAGATATTAAACTGAAGTTAATTAATACGTTGCACATATTGTATAAATACAAAGAATGTTTTTCGGTTTTATCCGTTAAGATCCCTTCAAGTGTCAAATTATATTTGGTAACCATTATTTAGAAACACTGTTGCAATCTGTGATGGGAGTTTGAAACCATTCCCTTTTCTAGTTTCTTCTTTATTCCTTATCGGAAAGAACAGTTTGCATTATTTGGAAAATAAAAATAAAATTAATTACTTTTTTGTACGAAAGTTAGTTAAAGAAAGTCATTTCAAAAGAAAGGTTTTTTACCCCTTCTGAATTTCTTTTTCTAAAAATCTTATCATTTGAATAAAGTAAAAAGACTGAAGCGTAAATTTAATTTAATTGAATTGTTTCTTCCCAACAGTCTAATTTTCATCAAATCTAACAGATTCTGTGAAAAACAAAACCTGATGTATACACCACATGACTTCCTTGTACGGAATTTTAAATTATACGCATTTTTTCTTGCATTTCATTTGAACTTATTGTATTGAATTAATTCTACTTCTTCGATAGCGAATAAACCACAATAGAATAAACGCACTCTTTAAAATTCACTATATTTGCTTACCATAGCGACATTCTGGCGCTAGGTTCACTTAAAATGTTATATTTCGTTCATATTATAACTCAGAATGCACAAAACGTATATCATTTGAAAATTATCTAATCGTTGCCACGTGTTCTATTCAAATACTATAATAAATCTAGAATGATGTATAAAAACGAATCAAGCAAACAAAACTAAAAGGAAATAGTTTCTCACAGACGATTCAGTATTTCTCATTTAATAAATTAAGTTCTCACTTCGCGACAAGGCAAAAATACATAAAAACTCAAAATATCTATATTAAAAATTACGAAGTAAATCTTAAACATTTATTCCCTCGAAAAAATTCCAGAAAGGATTAAGCATGATTTAATTCGCAATAACAAATGAATTAGCTTTGTTGTTGCGAAGCTTAGTCTCTCTAGATTGGCAACAAATCTGCTATGTAAGCAAACATGTCCGCCATGTTATTTAAAAATTAGGCTTAAGAGCACTTAAACTGTTTTTAACTTGTTGATATTCTACAAATATTTCTTGCAGATTTCCTAAGGCATAAAACTCTTAACTGGAAGATAAGAACAACATACTTCTATCATTTTTAAAGCACAAAAGTCATAATTTATAAACATATAAGAGTATAGAAACTGAGATCTCTGAGCCGGGTAACAGAGTGTATATGTATATATATATAAATATTTATATGCGTGTGGTGAGGCCGATTGCAACCAAAATACGAGGTGAACATCTACATTTTATAGCAGTCCTATATACAAAATTTCAACGTTCTGAGGCTACTTGTTTTTGAGTTATGCGAGATACATACGTACATACGTACGTACAGACACCACGAAATATTCTCTTCAGAATTCATTTTAAAGCAGTTTTATAATTTTTTGGAGGAAACGAGGCTTTTATTCTGCCCTTAAGTACAGATGTCACGCAAAAGCATCGTTAAATTGCATTCGATAGCGGTCAAAATTCGTTGAAATATGCTGCCTGAAACTTTTCGCGATTACAAAACTTCCTTTTTACTTCGTACAAGGAAGTAAAATGCTATAAAAATTATGCTGGAAGAATTAGTAGAATTCCTTTTAGAAAAGATTATTAATTTTTTATGGATAACCAATAACGCAGTTTAGTTATTCTAGCAGCTTAAAATAGTTATAAAAGGAGAAAATAAATTATTTAATTGATATTTAAATTAATATTTCTATTCGCTACTAATAATCTTCTTCCAAAAGAGTTTCTTAATTTTTGTTTGCTATTTTTCAAGTCCCTTATCTGACGCCTGAGATAAGTGCAATATTTACTGATATGTTACTTTTTCTTTTTTTTTTTGCAGATGAAAGTGGAAAGTCTTTTCGTTTCTTACCGAGCGGAGATGCTCCTCCAAGATACAGTATCATCAACTTTCAAAAGAAAGGAGACTCTGAAGAATATGTCTGGAGGCCTGTAGGCACATACGCACGTAAGTACAATTTTATATATTTCAAATGCTTCGAAGTAATTTTCGTTATGAAACAAAAATAAGGAAAGAGTTTTATTGCGATCATTCACCTTCATTTCATGAAAATTAAAGATTTAGAGAGTTTTATGAAGTACCCACTTTAACTCAAATATTGTCTATTTTGAATACTGTTAGGAAATGACCAGCTGCGGTAAGATAGCTTCCCCTCAAAACGGGTTTAGGTTTGCCAGATAATGGCAATGAAATGCAGGGTTGCCAGGTTTAGCGCAAAATCGCACGCTTAATGACATTTGGTTACAAAAATGGCGATATGTTGTAGACGGGGCGAGAAAATTCTGGAACGAATTCTTACCGGTTTGCCTTTACCTCTAAATATACGGTATCCGGACATAATCCCGACAGAAATCCCAGCCAAACAGAGGAATCCCCGACAAGCCAAATCCCGACAGGGTCGAA